AGGCAAGCGAGATAGAGATAGGGGGAACGAGGGGCGGAAGGGGGACGAAAAAAAACTGAGACCGAAGGGAGCGAGGGCACGAGAGAAATGCGTGGGAATTGAACCATGTGGTCGGCCGACTGGCTCGCGAAATATCGCGTTGCGAAAGTACGTATACATACACAGAGGCAACACACATACACGAATTACCGGTACACGTGGAGGCGGTGCGAACGAAACCGGTGCACGTATATACCATGTTTCGAGGTCACGGGGAGTTTCAGAAAGAATCACGCGCGAGATAATTAGACCGCCTTTCATGAAGTAACGTCGTTCGGTAATAACGAGATCCCGAGCCATCGAGTAAATGATGCTCTGAACAAAATATGCTGCACAATCTAGTATATTTATACCATTATTAAAATGTTTCCGTACATACAAAGTATACAGAAGTAAGTCTTATTACGTGTACGAAAGTAAAATAAAAGGTCCAATATTATACAAAGTGTCCAAAAATTTACAATTCAAAATATTCTAATAAAAAGGTTCTCGAGCAATTAGATGGAAAAGTTATTTGAAAAGTTATAAAATTCTTATTTTAAGCAGCAGTTTTTGAGATAAAAAGATTTAATGATCTATGGCCAATTACAGACTACGTCTAGACAGCCATCTGTCCATAAGTCGCGCGTGTATCGTGCGATAATATTAATGCCATTAATGAGCGCGCATTTCAACACAGTAATGTTCACAGATGGCAGTCTAAACATATTAGGTGTTGGAATTAATTCGTAGCGTTTTACAAGTGATGGGAAGTACTTTCATTAATGTACTTTTTAATGCTCATGTGAAATAAATAACATTCTTTCATTTAAAAACGCTACGAATTAATTCCAACACCTAATAGTAATAGACTATTTTCAAACCGTCGTTATTTTAAAAACTACTGCTTAAAATAAATATTTACAAATAACTTCTTTACTTGACTTTTTGAGTATTTTCTCACCTTAACATTTCGAATCGCGAATTTTGAGACGTTCAAGATTAAGTACATAAATTTTAAATGTTCAACAATTACTTAACAAAACGTTCTTCCTTAAATTTTATATATCTAAAAAATATAACATGGAAAGCTATCTTTTTATGACATAACCGATAGATTACGAGTCGATATGACGAATGTAAAGACGAGCACCGTACGTATACGACACGTGCTCGATTACGCAGCGCGCTGCGACTTGCGATCAGCGCGAGATCAGCTGTTAGTTCACACCGCCAATTACGAGTCACGCGACTGTCGAGGTTCTTGTCCCGACTGACACACATGCGCATTGTATGCCTACCTTTAATCGTCTCACGAGGCACCGCGGCGTTTAGCGCCTCGTCTCGTCCCGTCCCGTCACGTCTCTCGCGCGGTCCACATTCCCCGTTAAATACCCGATTAACTCTTGACCCCTGCGTGACCGCGTTGTCCGAGCGCGACGTTGCGTAATTTTTAGTCGGTGCTATTTTTAAACGCGCCGGCGGAATGTTATTAGCGTGGCTCATTTCCATGTCGACTCTCTGCGTCTCCAAACGTCTCCTCAAGGCTTCTGAAATTCCTGTCTCGCTAGCCTTCCATTTTCAATGCTGAATATCTTAACTGAATCTCAAATTAGGAATCTATCTTGAAATAAACTCTTGACTGGTATAATAAGATTTTTTATTAAATCTCTAAACTTTAGTTAAAATATAAAAAAAGAAATTCTTCAATTGTTTATAATTGTAAAATTATTGATATTTTAGTACTTTAAAAGAAAAATTCAAATTTATTTAAAGAAATCGCAGACAAAAGACGATTCAATAAATTTCCAATATCTTACGGATATGTATCAATGTTTCTCCGAGAAACGCGACTTTAGTGTAGTCGGCTTAGTATTTGCGCCGTGAAATACTCGCCGTAGTCCGTTCCCACGATTGACCTTACTTCACAAAGGTGGCACAAAGCTGTAGGGAACAAGTTCGCAGGTAAAGATTTACGAGGGTCCGTCGTCGTATTCATGCCCAACAGCGCTAACCGTACCGTCTGATAATCGAATTTTATTTTTTTGTGCAAACTTTATTTTATATATTTATTAAGAGGCAATAAAATCACACATGCAAATATTTATTAATCATTGTTAGAATAATATAATCTTATACGTAACAAAATATTATTTAAAAATCAAGACAAGAAGTTACTTTATAAAATAAATGAATAAAAAATATTCCATTACAAAAAATCGTAAAATCATAATGAAATTTGAAGAAACTAAAAATATTGTAAACATTTCTTACTTATTCCTAGTATCACTTCAGATTGAAAATCAAACATACATGGAACGTCAAAAATAATCAATATAGGTGAACATCGATCATGTGATCATAACCTGAACACCGATCATGTGATCGGACCGTTCGCATCAGCTGATACTTGACAGTAATGACGTCAGCGTCTGACAGCGTAAAAATTAAACGAACGCTGTCACACGACTGTGAAGCTAATGGTTTAAGTCCCGGCATAACTAGGCGAGCGATCTAAACCGATTGTACGAGGATTTAGTTGTATAGCGTGGGATCGGACACTGACTTTCACATAGTAAAATTGACCGAAGACCCAAAGCGCGCGGTGATTCATAAAGGCCGCCAGTGGCGGCGGCTTGCGTAACATCACGACGCGCAAACGCAACGGAACGATTGAGTTTTATTGACAAATTCATCTTGCCAAAAGAGAGGTAGGTCGTCGTTTCCGGTCCACGTGTCAGTCTGACTCGGCCAGACATCGTGCGTGTTGGCCCTAATGTAATAAAATTCATCCGGTCGGATGGTACCACCTTAACTCGCTATTCTGAGGCGCGAGATCCGTCTGCGTTTTTCAAATAACGATTAGAAAGTCTTCAAATACGTACCGAAATTCCTTATTTGGCGAATGCAGAGAAAATTCTTTTTTATTTTCATTTTTCGGCACTGTATACGTGCAAAATTAGGCGAAAAATAAAATGCGATTCATTTATGTGTTTAATGAGAGCGTCATTGCATGCCAGCGGTATTTTCGAATTGTATGACCAAACAAGAGCAATTGGTTTTTTTTTTATATATATATGTTCGCTAATACATATCGAGAAGAAAGTCTTCCCTTTAAAGAAAATAAATTATAAAAATATCTTGCAAGACAATAAATCATGCAATATCGATCAGTCAGATTTTCACGGCATTATTTTTCATTGTCATCGTTATTTTTCTTGTATGGTCTTGCATAAAATCTAATACCGCCAAACAAAGATATAAATTAATGTCTAAATGCATATCGTTAATTATGTCATTTAAAAATTATATATATATATATATATATATAAAATTCGTCATTTCCAATACTGTGCTTTTAATTTTTATTACTGTACGGAAACAAACAATAAATATTTACAATCGAATGCATTTAAAGATTAATGGTAATGGAAACTCGGGGCTACTGCGAAGAAGTAAACAATTCTATCAATTGTATCCGATAATTGGAGTCACGAATTCATCCAACGAGTATTCATATATAACATCTTGTGGGAAACAATTCCTGACAACTCCACTTGGACTATTGGATGCTCAAATACTCGCACAACGTCCCAACGATCCGAAATAATCACATATCGATTGAGTGCGTCGCTGGAGTTCGAAGTGTTCAAACGGAAAGTTAAAAAAAAATCGTAAGGTGGTACTAGTATAAAGGCGTGACCCACTCTTACGATACTGGCGGTAGTATCTCGATTTTTCTTTTGTGCACGAGCGCGGCATAAAAGATATTTCGTGCACGCCACATCTTGCACATGGACGAAATGAGAATTTTCCAAGTTTGGATGCATTACGACAAAGGAAAGGAAACAAAAATTATGCTTTGCGATTTATGATATGAGACACTGCTTGCACAATATAAGCAATCGTGCATTAAGATTCGAATTATCCTCATGCAATGATTTTCGACTAATCTATTTGCGCGGAACTTGGACAAAATTAAGTTCATGTTTAATGCTTTATGATGATGAATACTTTCATCAAGATCTAAACATCTTGCGATTTTATGTGATAAAAATTAAAACATTTATTAATAATTAATTTTTTTTTAATTTGACAATATTTTTCTCTCTTATAAGACACATGCAATGATTGTGCATTCCTTCTAATGTATCCATGGAAAGACGTAAACACGAAGCGATGAATGGATGAATGAGCTTATTACTCAAGCTTGATCGACTATCCTCCAGCACAGGAAAAATTTATTGGAGGAAGTGTTCTTCAGTTCTTTTACAATGATTCATACCGAATGAGCAAGCGATTCAAGCTACGAGGAATACGGCGATAATGGTAACACTTCGCATGGATACAATTCTCATTTCAACCAAAAAGATTGATCATAATACGATATCAAGTATGCCTCGCACATTCTCGTATCGGCACACCTGATTTCTTATACAATACCAACGTACAACGTACAAAAAAAAAACACATTTTCAGTATCCAACCAGAGTCGTGGAGAATAGAAAATAAATTTTTTCTCATCATTATAAAAAAAAAAATTAAAAACTTTACGTACATTAAAACATTGCATACTTATTAAAATTGAGCTCACGATATATTTCATTATACGTGATGTATATTACAATAATCAGAGAGAATAATTTTATATTAAAAATATCTCATTTACCTAATATATAAGATTTATATAATAATTCTATTTTTTAATTATTAATCTTTACAGAAATCTAATAATGGTCAATTTAATATTAAAAACAAACAATAATTAATTACTTATTGCAAATATTAAAAGCATTATTGTTCAGTGTTCCAAATAAGTAATTAATTACTGTCTTTCAATAATAAATTGGCCAATATTAGATTTCTGTAAAATAATATTTTGTGAATAAATAAAATAACAATAAATAATAATAATTTGACCATTCGAAATATAAATAAAATACACACGACTCTGGCCAGGGGTCGATATAAAAGCCACTTACCTTAGACAGCTTTTCGCCCTCGTGATGCGGTAACAACGTCCTCAGCGATTGGAATCCGGCATTGATACTCTGCATGCGACGTCGTTCGTTGCTGTTGGCGATTTCTCGCCGCATTCGCTTCTCTTGCTCCATGTGGCTGCGCGACGCAACACGGCCAACGTTGCTGATACCGTTTCCGTTGCTCAACGCAACGTTCTGATTAGCAACCCGCCGACCAACCCCGACGTTACCTTTTGATTGCGGCGGTTGTTGCCGCTGCTGTGGTTGCCGTTCTTGAGTATCAGCGACTTCGGCGACCGTCACACTCGTGGTCACCGAGCCGTCGTCCACCGTCTCGACGCTCCTGCGGACAAATAAATTATAAAGCATATAAATTTTACATCGGTTGAAGTCAATATTTTATTTTAATTAATAAATTCTATATAGTAAAGTTTTATTAGCAAAAGCTGAACGTACAGGTACTAACATTTAGGCTCAATTTCACAACTCGCGGTCTTTCTAATTCTAACATTAGAAAGAGATGATGAATAAGTTAAACCTTGGTTAAGAGTTAACCATGAGTTGTGAAACTGGACCTTAATTATTTGAAATTATTTTATTTTAATCATATCGTGTGTATTATTTTATATAATTAAATTTAAATTAGACCATCTTTCGAGTTTCCCAGGCTTCGCGTTAATTACACGAAATACTAACGCTCGTATCCTTCGATACTAAAAGACTGCGCTCCTTGAACTTTTGAATCTTTATATATTTTATGTCTACATCAATTTATTTTAATTACCTCGCATGCAGACAGCTGCGCGTATCATCATTATTTAAAAAAGACATTTCCGTTGGACGATAAATGTCCATGGTCAAAGTACTTCAACTATCAACAAGATAGAGTCCGAATCAAAGCGACGCCGACATAGGGAGAGAAAGAGAGACAAAGAGAACACTGATACACGCGCACGCACATTTACACGCGTAACGCGTGACATTTCGTCGAGTTTTCGGTCACGATTGAGATCGAACACGGGACACCCACTCGTCTTATCTCGCCTCGTAACGCGAGGGCTTTTAAGAAAATTGGAAGCAAGATGTTTTTTTTCTCGTCTATTCCTCTTTCTTTTTTACTTCAACGAATGCGCGCAGCGGACGACCGCGGGACTTGTGAACGGTTGAATTCGCGGTCAATGAAGCGGGACGTCGTTGACGCTTCTCGACGGCGGCTTCAAAGGCTTCTTCGCGCGCTTCCGACCGCTCGCACGTCCGCAAACATTCTGTGCCGGCCGCACGGAATCTGTGATTTGATAGACCACTTACATTTACTAACATCATTATTTTTTTCATACCTCCAATGTGGTTCAGGTATTGTAATACTGATTTGTCAATTATATGTACAAATTAATAAAATCAAGTAAAAAAAAAATTCAATTTATTATCAAACCTACAATAATCCTTAAAAATATTACTATTATTATTATAGATAAATTAATTAACTTATTCTCTTTCAAAAATATATATCTAGAACTTCACTCTAATATTAAAAAAAATAAATAATAAAAAAAATTAATTGAGTAAGAAATTGTTAATAATAAAGATATAACAATTAAAATAAATATAAATATATTTATTCCCTCCTATAAACTATTTCTATAATTATAAATCTTTTCCATAACGTCCAGATGTATAATTGTGTAAGATAAGTATTACGAATTTTAAGGTTCAGCATCAGATTATTAAATTTTTTTAAGATGCCTATGAGCACACACAATATTATTAAATTGCTTGCCATTTAATTTGTGATATTACTACTATAATTCTGTTAGGATTGCGTTTTAAGACTAAAAATTAAATTAAATTCACACCAAATTATTTAAGTATTAAAAATCCAACTTGACCGTCGAGAGCCTTTATTTCCTATTTGTTGTATATTCACATGACACCGTAAAATATACTTTGTTTAATACGCGTTATATTTATTTTATTTTAAAACTGCCGAGTTCTAGTAAATATTTCATAGCTTATCTAATTTCCGCACATATCTATAGCACGCCACGCGTAACATACCTTACATGAATCGTCACGCAAATAACACGAGAATAACACACATATATATTATCACGAATATCGCGCGCATGGATTTCATCATAAAGGTCAGCTGTAAGCACGCATGTGAAACGTCACGTAAGCATAAATTTCAGTTAAAGTACGAGGATAAAATGTTTGTTAGTTGTAAACAACTAGGAATTTCATTCATATTCACTTGCACTCAAAATAATCATGATTAAAGATAAAACTAACAGGCAGGTTGCAGTGTTTAAGAATATAACATTTCAGAGTTTAAAGTGTAAAATAATTTCACAATAAAAAATTATTTGCGGATATAAGAGAATTACGACAGATTTACTCTTTTTTTTTATCAAATATCTAACTTTGTTAAATTTATTATAGTTCTTCAAATATAATTTCTCTTATTTTATCTACTAACGTTTATGCTAATAAATCAATAATTCGTTAAATCATTTAAATTTAATATATCTAAAATTCATATCTCTCTCTCTCTCTCTCTCTCTCTCTCTCTAAAATATAAAAAAAAAGAATAACGAAATTGATTATTAAAGTATCTTCAAAAAAAAATGTCATTAAATTTATTAAACCCTATATCTACTTTTAATATACAAGATCATTTTTGTATTAAAATTGATAAGAGAGATTCATTCCTTAAATCCATCAAAGTTATATAAGTGTCGTTATGTATGATTACGTGCTGTAGTCTACTCCGGGGAACTTATAAATAAGTTAGCGAAGTCCTTAATAATGCAGTGCTCATTCCGTAATATTGTAGACTAACTTATAGGTAAAGTCGGTAAATGAGGAAACAACAAACAGCTGGGAAAATTATACGTTAACGAGCAGTAGTAAGAAAAGCAATGGGAAAGAGAGTTAAAGAGGAGAAAGATCGAGATGGCGGCTATAGCGCCACGAGGATGACTCAGCAAGAGAAGACCGTGATCTTGCACCTCGCGCCGAAACGCCACGTGTCGATAATACGAATGTAAAGGCTACTCGCTAAAAACAACCACGCAATCATATTTTTATTTATAGTGCAATCATTTATAAAACATTCTTTCACGATTTTCCGTAATGATTCCATATAAAAGTAACGCAACATGATAAAATTGCATTGCTTTTAAGTTATAAATTAAATTTAAATTAGTTCAGGCTGTAAACCAGATTAATTTAAAGTATAAAGTAACTTAGACCATAGATCAGGCCGTATAAGAACATAATATATCGAATAAATGTTTGAAAAAGTGATATATTGTCGACGTGCATGTAAAGATTTAAGAGATATATTGTTGATGAGTTTTTGTGCAATATAAAAGTGCTTATTGTTCATAAAACGTATTACCAAATAGCCAATAACAATATGTAAAAATAGGAAGAGCTTCTTTAAATGTCACGATACTTTATTGACCGCTTGTCACTCGTCCAGTAATTTTCTTTGGTTGAAATATTAACAGTTACTCATTCGAAGATGTCACTCAAATACCACGAAACTGCGACCACACGCACGAAGGTGTAATCGTACATCATCCCGCGATGTAATGACGCTTTCAAATCACGATCGTCCGTCGAAAGCTTTACAATGGCTGAAGTGTGTTATAATGTAGCATTATTCCGCAGTTTAACTCTCATCCGATATTAACTGTTGCTATAACTTAAAAAAAAAACAGACAATTTCTCTATCATGATGCTAATCCTCATCAATCGCGAATTAAAGCGATACGGAACGTCGACAACGAGACATCTCATAGCTAATGAAGTCACTCATCCATGTTTGTTATATATTAATTTCGACATTGTGTCGTTTATCATCAATATTTTATTTTAATCACAATTACCGTCGTACATAGCCACAAGAGTCAATACTATCAATTTAATATTACAATAAATCATTATTCCATTACGTTTACAAAACGTATTGCCACTTTCGAAAAGAAGCGTCTTTTCTCGCGATAAACACGGTTGAATTGTTCTGAGTAACACACGAGGGATTGAATCAGGCCGCGGCATTCATCAGCGATCATTCATAACGGCACGTGGAGGTCCACGGAACCAGAAATCCACGTGGCGTACTCTCTCATCGAGTGGTTATATTAGATCAGCTGGTACGCCGGCGGCTTGCTGGCTGGATGGTTGGCTGTCGTGACGTCAGCTCGTTCGTTCGCCGGATACCCGCAGAGCGCTCGCTCGGCCAGATCAGTTGCGGCGAAGTAGGTCGGCGAAGTGGATAGAGCTACCTTCCTTTTCACCCTGAAATCCTGCCACCCATACGAGGGAGAAACGTGCGAGCTAAAGATAACCCTACATCATCTATTCTTCGTATCTCAGTTCGGTTCGGTTATCTTCTGAATCGTGCACGTGTCTCTTATACATCTCCAGAAAAAGAGAGTTCAGTTGTCTTTTATGCACATTTCTTATCCTCTTGTATGTCTCATTGCTTAGTAAATTTATTCAATTTTGTCTGTTGTGTTTTTTATAATTCTTACATTGTGATATTTTTAGCATAATTGTCTTGTAATATTTAAATTTCTTGTTCACATAAATTTTCTTTTTCTCATTAATAATTCTTAAATAATTCTCTCACTCTTCGTACTGCTTGATAATCAATCAGCTGATATATTGTAATTGATGAATCAGTAGAAATTAACTGTTAGTCTTTATTTTTATCTTTTTATTTTTGATATTGGCAAAGTTCAAATATAGCAACAATTGTGAATACTACAGCTGTGATAAAAATTATTGCTTGTGCCACAATTGTAATCAGCAGTCGAACTCACAGGAGATAAGTTCTTACAAGGTTACGCGATATTTAAGCTACATATGCCGCCAAATTATCTTCGATAAAAAAAAATTACAAAAAAAGCAGCGTATTCAAAAGCGATATACGAAGCTCAGTATAATATTAAGCAAAGAATAATTTCTGATAAACAGAAAATAATATTTCAAATATTTAACGAAGTAAATTCAGAATATCTTTTCGCAATATTTTAATATATTTTAGAATAATTTTCTTTCTTTGTATATCATAAAGTTTTTTGAGCAATTAAAATATGGTTAAAAAATGTTCAAGAGATTATGTTCTCTTTACAATAAAAACTTACATTAAAAAAATAATAAATTTTAATGCATATTTGTTCGAATAATTCCAAGTATAAATATTTACTAAATATAAATTTGACATTTATTTGACACAATAATTATTAATTTGATTTAACTATTATTTTTTAATAAATAAATATTTATTTGTTAAGTTTACCTATTCAAAGAAATATGTATTGAGTAAATTTT